GCTGCAAAGTGACCGTGCTCCTGACAGTGAGCCAGACAGACTCCAGACAGACTCATACTGAAAACTGAAAGGGGAATACAGTGGGAAGGGGTTGTTAGCTGGAAGGGAGGGACATTCCTGCCCACACTGAGTTCCCCAAATGCAGTGGTTTTGTGAGAAAGAGAGAGAGATTCATTCCAGGTTGTGCTAAAAGGGAAAGCACACAGAAGCCATCTTGCTCGGCACAGGGACTGTCCTCACAGTTTGTCCTGGTCAAGTGGAATTCGGTTCCAAGGCTCATCTATAAAAATCAGGGCAATACCTACTTATTGACTTGTTATGAGGTTAAACATGACGTTGCATGTAAGGAGTTTAACATTACCCTGGCACTGGGTAAATTCTCAATGAGTAGCTCTTATTTTATTATAATTATGTTTTATGTTTACCATACTAAAATAAAAATTTTAAAACATATAACAGGAATCTGCCAGATGAAATATAGTTTCCAAATTGACAAAGGAAGTAAGACTGTCATTATTTGTAGATGACATGATAGTGAACATAGAAAACCCTAAAGACTCCACAAAAAAGCTACTAGATCTGATAAATAAATTTAGAAAAGTAGTAGGTAATATTCAGAAATCAGTGACATTTCTATATACCAATAATGAACTATCAGAAAGAGAAACTAAGAAAACAATTGTATTTACCATTGCAACAACAAAAATATAAGGTACCTAGGACTAAGTTTAACCAAGGAGGTAAAAGACCTACACTTGGAAAACTATAGGACATTGAAGGAAAAAATTCAGAAAGATACAAATAAGTGAAAGTATATACTGTGTTCATGGATTAGAAGAATTAGCATCATTAAAATGTCCATACTACCCCAAACAATGTACAGATTCAATGTAATTCTTATTAAAATACCAATGGCATATTTCACAGATATAGAACAAATATTCCAAAAATGTCTATGGAAAGAAAAAAGATCCTGAATAGCTTTAGCAATCTTGAGAAACAAGAATAAAGTTGGAGGGATCACAATGCTGGTTGTCAAACTATACTACAAAGCCATTGTAACCAAAACAGCCTGGTATTGGCATGAGAACAGGCACATAGATGAATGGAACAGAACAGAGAGTCCAGAAATCAACCTATGTGGTCAATTAATAGTTGACAAATGTGTCAAGAGCATACAATGGAGTAAAGACAGTCTCTTCAATAAATGGTGTTGGGGAAATTGGACAGGTATGTGCAAAAAATATTGATACTAGACCACCAACTTACACCTTACACAGGAATAAACTCAACATGGATAGAACACTTCAATGTAAGTCGTGAAATCATAAAAATCCTAGAAGAAAACATAGACAGTAAAATCTCAGACATCTCTCATAGTAATATTTTTGTCAACATGTCTCCTAGGGCAAGGAAAATAAAGAAAAAAAACAAATGGGACTACATCAAACTAAAAAGCTTCTACACATCAAAAGAAATCATCAACAAAATGAAAAGGGAACCCACTGCATGGGACAACATATTTGCTAATGATACATCTGATAAGTGGTTAATTTCCAAATATATAAAGAATTTATACAGTTCAACACCAGAAAGACAAACAATCCAATTAATAAATGGGCAAAGGATCTGAATAGACACTTCTCCAAAGAGGACATACAGATGGCCAAGAGACATGGGAAGAAATGCTCAACATCACTAATTATCAGAGAGATGCAAATTAAAACTACAGTGAGATATCACCCAACACCTGCCAGAATGGCTGCCATCAATAAATCAATAAACAGCCCTGGCCAGTTTGGCTCAGCAGTTGGAGCATCGACCTGTGGACCAGAGAGTCCCAGGTTCGGTTCCCGCTAAGGGGCACGTACCAAATAAATAAATAAACAAATAAACAAACGAGTGTTGGCGAGGGTGTGGAGAAAAGGGGACGTTGTGCACTGTTGGTGGGGATGCAGACTGGTGCGGCCACTGTGGAGAACAGTATGAAGTTTCCTCAAAAAATTAAAAGCAGAACTGCCTTTTGACCCAGCAATCTCACTTCTAGGAATATATCCTAAAAATCCTGAAGCACTAATTTGAAAGAATATATGCACCCTTATTTTCATAGCAGTGTTATTTACAATAGCCAAGATCTGGAAACAGCCCAAGTGCCTATCAGTATATAAGTGGATAAAAAAGCTGTGGTACATTTACACAATAGAATACTACACTGCTGTAAAAAAGAAAGAAATCTTACTTTTTGCCACACTATGGATGTATTGGATATTATTATGCTAAATGAAATAAGCTAGTAAGAGAAAGACAGATGCCATATGACCTCATTTATATGTGGAATCTGATGAATAAAATAAATGGATGAACAAAGTAGGAACAGAGGCATGGATACATGGAACGGACTGACAGCTGTCAGAGCGGAGGGGTGTGGGGTTACTGGATGAAAGAAGGTGAAGGGACTAACTAAAAAATACATTCGCATAACCTATAGACACAGACAACAGTGTGGTGGTGGCTAGAATGGGTAGGGTGGGATGGGGAGGGGGTACTGGGTGGAGGTGCCGTCCCTCGCCTTCTACCCTACCTTTAAGCCATGGAGAAGATCAGACTCAATCCTCAGTTCCCACTTCCCTCACTTTATACTCTCTCCCCGAAAGTGGTTTTGATTATTGATTTTTTTTCTATACTCACCGAGGACATTTTTTTCTATTTATTTGTTCAGATAGAGTGGGAGGGAGAGAGAGGGAGAGAGAGAGAGAGAGAGAGAGAGAGAAACATCGACGTGAAAGGGACACATTGAGTGGCTGTCACCTGCACGATCCAACCAGGGCCGAGGACAAACTGCAACCCAGGTACGTGCCCTTAGCGGGAACCAAACCCGGGTCTTTCTGAACCGCAGGTCGACGCTCTAACCGCTGAGCCAAACCGGCCAGGACTGATTATTGATTTTTTCCAGTACACTTTTCTGCAGCCACAATGGCCTTGTCTCAGTTCTGAGTCTCTCTCCCCTTGGGCTCACAGGGATGCTGCCCTCTGCTGGCAGACTTCCCCTGGCTCTCAGCCCAGTCCCCCCAGCTTGGGCTCCAGCTCACTCACTTTGCATCCCCCATATTCAGTCCAGTTCTTGCCACAAAGTTGTGAAAACTTTAAGAGTAAAAATAATTTAAAATGCAATTGGGTATCACTGTAAAAAAGTACTTGTACTGGCTGGCTTAGCTCCAGACACTAGCTCTCTAAATACTTTTTCCTTTAGGTTCTGTGACACCAAACACCATGGTAGGATGAGCTATATAACTTGTGGGGCCCAGTGCAAATGTTTAAAAAATAGGGGGAGCCTGGCCGGTGTGGCTCACTGGTTGAGCATCAACCCACGCACCAGGAGGTTGCTGGTTTGATTCCCGGTCAGGGCACATGCCCAGGCTGTGGGCCCGATCCCCAGTTGGGGTATGCAGGAGGCGGCCAATTGATGTTGTCTCATCAATGTTTCTAACTCTCTCTCCTCCCTTCCCCTCTCTCTAAAAATCAATAAAGAAAAAAAATTATTAAAAAATAATAATAAAAATAAAAAATAAGGGGAAAAGTGTCACTAACGGTGATAAAATGCGTGACCGCATCGAATTAAACCAAGTACACAGTGCTTCTGATCACAGGCCCCACCCGCTCCCTGAAGCTGTCTCTGTTCTTGGTTTCTCTCCTGTGTCACTGACCACTCCTTTCAATCTCCTTTGCTGGAGGTGGTTCTCAATTCCATGTTCTCACCTCTTTGCTAGCAGAGTTGCCTGTGTGGTCTAATCCAGTCCCATGTCTTCCAGACTTACATCTCTGAGCTGCAGGTGGTCCTCTCCAGCAGCCGAGTGGCTGTGCACTTGACAGGCATCTCCAAAGTAACAGGACTTGAAAGAACCCCTGTCCCTTCTCCCACTCATCCTCCCCCTTCCGTGATTGCCTTCATCTCAGTAAATGTTCTTCTGGCCTAAAACATTAACCCGGGTTTTCTCTTTTCCTCTTAACCCCACACTCAAAGCAAGAGGAAATCCTTTCAGCTTTGCATCTAAGGTGAACCATAAACCCGATCGGCCCTCAGAAACTCCGCTACCGCCATCCAAGTGTGATCTTCTTTCTCCCCTTGGTCTTCTCGGTTCATTTACCTTATAACAACCAAAGGGGTCTTCCCAAGACATGCAGAAGAGCCTATGACTCACATACATACAAGATTCCCTGTGACCTTCTCCTCTGCCTCTGACCTGATTGCATCTGCCTCGCCCCCCTCGTTGGATGCCTGCAGTTCTTCTCTCTCCTCTCATCTCAGGGCCCCCGCGCGCGTGCTCACTCTGCATGGGGTGCTCTCCTCCTTCACGCGGGCCTCCTGTAGCCATTCTGTCTGGTTTGTCTTGTTTTGCTTTGATCCTCACCCAAGGACGTTTTTGCATTTATCTTCAGATAGAGAGGGAGGAAGAGCGGAAAGAAGAGAGAGAGAAACAGAGACACATCAAGTGGTTGCAACCCGCACACCCCAACCGGGGCCGGGGACAAACTGCAACCGAGGTACGTGCCCTTAGCGGGAACCAAACCCAGAACTCTGGTCCACAGGCCGACGTTCTAACTGCTGAGCCAAACTGGCCAGGGCTCCTGTAGTCATTCTGAGTGCTGCTTCCACATCATTAGGTCTTGGCTTTAGTGCCACCTCCCCAGAGACATCTTCCCTGAGCACCCAAGTTAAAGCCGTCTCCTCCCCCTCAGTCATGCCCTATCCTGTTACCCTGTTTTATTTCTTCATTGCACTGTCAAAAATGATCTTGGTTACTTGTTATGTTTATTTCACACAGAGACACACACACCCATAACAAGAATAATTTACCAGTCTTGATTCCACCTGAATTCTGAGCACCTAAGACTTCCCTGGTGGTATGTGTTCTACCTCACTGGGGTGACTGTACCTCACCATGTGGATGAAGGCCTAATCATGAGCAAATGTTCATTTTCTCTCTCTTGTTTTCTTTCAGGTGGTTTGGGCAGATAGTTACAAAGTTGGCTGTGCAGTACGATTTTGCCCTACAATTTCTGGCCTAACGTTTCCCAATGCTGCACATTTTATATGCAACTATGGACCAGCGTAAGTACCCAAATCAACCTCTCTCTAAAAAACGTATTTTAAATTCTATTTTACAAATATTTATATGCATTACAGAAAATTAAATAAAGTGTAAAAAAGAAAAGTAATATTAGCCTTAATGCCTCTGCCTAGAAATCTACTCCATTAACGTTCTGGTACATTTTTCTGCGTGTCTGCGAGGTGTGTATACACCCTTTATAAATACTACATAAACATATGCACAAATTTTTAACAGTAGCACGACTAAAATGTTTTCAGGGACACGGGTTAATTGGATATGGTAATAACACCACAAAATGAGAGGATTGATGTTACTTTATATTTATTGGTTTATTTAAAACTTGGCAATTTTTACACAGCTGTCAAAATTAAAATAACTCTGAAATGAATTTCTCATTTTACATAACTTATTTCATTTACTTTTGACAGTTTTGTTACTAAATAGATATAATCCGTCTCCCTTTGGAAACAGGGGAAGACGCATGACATCTCCCCAACCTCCTTAAACCAAAAACGTGCTTATGCATCACACATCTATTCAGAAAACTGAGATCATAGTGGAAATACACATTTTCTATTTTTTACTCTAAATTACACCACGAGCATTTCTAGGTCATTGTCCTTGTACACGGCTTCTCGTGTGCCAAGCATGGCTGTGAGTGCTTCACATGTAGTGACTGATTTAATCTTCACACCGTCTGTGAGACAGCCCGTTACTGCTCTGCTCTGCAGACAAGGAAACAGGCCCTGACAGGGTGAATGGCCCATCACAGGTCTCTCGGTTAGTGACTGCCGGAGCCAGACTCTGACCAGGGCTGTCCGGTTCCAGAGGGCCACATAGCTCATCCTACTGAGGAATTCAGATTGTTCCCAGTATTTTTAATAGATGATAAATAACTTTGCATATAAGTCTTTGGTTACATCTAATTCCCTACAATTCCTAGCAACAGTCTATTAAGTAAAAGGTGCGATCATGTTTAAGTTTTTAAACATACATAGTGCCAAATCATTGCCCATTATTACTATGTCAAGGGGAAGATAATAAATGTACATTAAAATTTTCTTTAATTTGTTGCCCTCAGATTTCCTTTGGATTTTGTCAATCTTTGGGAGTCCTGAAGATTTATTAGAAAAAGCCTCTTCCTCTTTCCTGAAGTTATGTTCAGTAGAGATGCTTAACAGTGACTGTGAATGGGATGAGGGGACTAAATCAGGTGTTGTTCAGAAGATAACAGTGTTGCCTAAAAATCCCAGTGTCAGAATATAAGGGAAACCCAGGAAAGACTAGCCAAAGCTGTAAGTCAATCAGTGATTACTTTTCATAGCATTTATATATCTCAATGGTTAAGATACAGGCTCTTGAGACCCACTACCCTAGTTCACTTACTGTGTGACCTTAGACAAGTTACATAACCTCTCTGAATCTGTTTCCTTTCTTTTTTTTTTTTTTATTCCTCACCTGAGGATATTTTTCTACCTATCATCAGATAGAGTGGGAGGAAGGGAGAGACAGAGAAACATCGGTGTGATAGAGCCACATTGACTGGTTGCCTCCCACATGACCCAACCAGGGACAGGGACAAACCGCAACCGAGGTATATGCCTTTGACCAGAATCGAACCGAGACTCATTGGTCCACACTCTAACCGCTCAGTCAAACCAGCCAGGACTGAATCTGTTTCCTTTCTAAAAGATCAGGATAATAACAGCACCTACTACTTATGGAGTAGCTATGAAAATTACATGGGAAGGCTTTGTAAAACACCAAGTATAAGCAATGCCTGGCAACGTTGATTGTTTGAGAGGTATTCATAATCATTATCTTTGTTATAATAATGAGGTACAACTGTGAACTCTCTTAGTTTAGACTCACTTTACTTGTCTTCAGTTATAAACAATATTAAGTCGTAAAACTTATCACAAGCTATAATGCTTCTATCAAGATTAACATTCATTTACTCATACAAATAAATGCATTTATACATTAACAAATAAAAGTAAAAAAAAAATTTTGTTTACTGAGTTTCAAAGGAGTACAAGCCAAACATGGTTCCTACTCTTATGGAATTTATATTTATGGGGCAGACAGGCAATAAAGATACAAATGCAAACAATATTAACTGCATTATGATAGTAGTGGAGGAAATATAAATAATACTGTAATCAATACAATCAATAGACAGGGCCCTATTTAAGCTAAAACGATCAGGGAAGAGCTTTGTGGCATGTTTAGGCTTAGGCATGACAAATGAGAAGGACGCAGACGTGTAACTTCAGGAACACGTCTGGTGGAGAACAAGCCTGGGGAGGGTTAAAGGACAGACAGCCCGGGGTGCTTGGACCGCTGGACGGGAAGAAACTGGGAGAAGGCAGCTCAGGTCTTGCAGAGCCTGGTAGGTCATGGCAAACGTAACTTCATGCACATCACAAAAGGAGGCCATGCAAATATTTTAAGTGAGAGAGTGACAAGACCTGCTTTAAATGTGGAGGTTATTCTGCATGAAGTGTGGAGGAAGGACAGGAGGGCATGGGGGTCGGTCGGGGAGGCTCAGTTCTCCCTTCTGAGATGTTTTCTGTTTTTTCTTCTATAAACAAAACATCATAGACCCCTAGTTTACATAATTCTAAGTCCAGCATCCTCTTCCATACTTCTGAGATTTCCTCAGAAGCAGCTGTGCTGATTCCAGTTCTGGAGTCCAGTCGTCAGCTCGTTTCCGTTGCTCATTGTCCCAAACACAGACACAACTCTCTCCTTCATTCCCCCGGGCCCTGCCGAGCAGGGCTGTGCTGTATGACAGAACTTCACTCAGTGGACTCGTGTAAGAGAGGGTCACACACAGAAGAGGACATCACAATGTTCACTATCAAATACTACAGTACCCAGTATACCTAGTATACTCTGGCCACCACTGCCTTGGGGATCCTTACTCATGTTAATCTTTTTCTTTAAAGGTCTCCCCTCACCCCTACCCCCGCATAATCCCAGGGCCCCAACCCTTTCTCTCAGGCTGCCAGGGGAAACACTAGACCTTCTTGCTCTTTATTGGGAGGAATACTTGATGTCCCTTTGTCTTAACCTCTCCCACCTGGACAAACTCGGGCCTTCTCAAGGGTACATTTCTCCCAAGATGAATTCTGCTGTTTCCCTAGAACACACAACGGCTTCATTTTTAGCTTGTTTTTGTGGTAGCAATTTCCCCCTCTTCTTTACACTCTGGAGTGCACAATTAGACAAAGAATGAAGTAGCATACATAATGTTATTAAAAACATTCTAGAACCTACCCACTCAGTGAGTATTGTGTTAACAAAAAGATATTCCGATGATTAATGTCCACTTGGACATCTTTTATAATTGATATCAGTATTTCTACTACATTCCTTTGACTATTTTCCACAGTGTAAACATAAGGGTACATTTAATTTCCAAAACAACCTAAATTCATTTGGAGCTAAACGAGACCAGAACATAGACCTTGGGTTGGAAATGAGGTGTTAACATAATGTTTCTAAAGGAGGGAGTTAACTGGACATAAATGTATAGTATTAGGGAAGGGGAGTCCCAGAACTTGGATTAGAAAAAAAGTAACATCTTTATTTTCACTAACCTCTACTGAAAGTAACATTTCATTATGAATGAGGGTAACATCAGCAACATCTGTGACTTTGTACTGGCACTTATATCTCTGAAAACATCAGTTATTTTCATATCACATTCCAGTAGCTGCAGATTGTTTTTATTCATCACCACTTTGAAATTAATGTTATTATACTCCCTGATTAATCTTATCTAACATTTCATAGAGAAGCACATATTACTATACTACAAGTATTTTTTACCATTCTGACATCTCTCAATTGATTTCCTTTATAATCCCTATGAACTTTAAGTTATACATTAAAAACAAACTCTTTTCTGAAAGAGTCCGTAGGCCCACCAGGCTACCAAAGGGTATCATGGCATAAAAAGTGAAGAACTCTTTTCCAAAACCAGGATTCCAGAAACAGTCAGTGCAACTGCAAATTCATTGGAATACTACCCTGAAGACATTCATGGGGATCTATGTTTGGATATTATTTCACTTCCTAGTTTGTGACCGTGGTCGATTACTTATACTCTGTGCCTCAGCCTCTAGCTACATAATGGCCATAAATAAATAACTATCTTTCTCACAGGGACGAGGTTAATCCATTAAGGCTTAGAACGGAGCACCTAACACATAAGAAGTATTCAGTGATATTACCTGTTATTCATATCACATCTTTTATGTGAAAACAAACTGCATTTTAGAAATCCCCTTATATATTTTTTTATTGTTGGGTGCTTTTCCAGCCAAATGGCTCCCGTCACAGAAGCGATGGAGGGCTGTAGGCGAGGACAGGAAGTGGGGGACACAAGGCCTGCTCTGACGGACAGTGTGTGGTGGCAGCAACCACGCAGGCCACGCAGTTAGAGGGAGCAGTGCCCTGGGGCCAGACAAGTCCAGGTTTCGTTCTGACTCTGACATACATCGTGATACACATTGTGATTTTGGCAAATTACTTCATCTTTACGGCTTTAGTTTTCTTATCTATAAAATAGAAATAAAAATATCTTCTTCACTGAGTTGTCTAGAGAATTAAATGAGATGATGTAGATTAAGACACAGGTTCACACACAGGCACACAGAATAAACGCTAAATGTTAACAGGCTTCCATGTCTGCTTCCCCCTCTCCACTTCTCCCAACCCTCTGAAGCCATAGACTTCCCTTCTATGGGCTCAGTCGAGGATTCATAGAAAATTGCAATTGCAAAACAAAACAAAAAAAATCTCTCCTAATGGACAGTTTTTTTCTACTTTCTAGAGGAAATTACCCCACTTGGCCATATAAATCAGGATCCACTTGCAGTGCTTGCCCCCAAAATGACAAATGTTTGGACAATCTGTGCGGTGAGTAAAAGAAACAATCTACCAGTAACAGTGTATCTGAAACTACTGTAACTTTCCACAGTTAAGAATGCAGACATTTGTTTCATACTAACAGCTATTTTCAGGAAGCTCGCAGCAGGTCCCCATCAAACCAATGGCTTATTGCCCTAGGAATGAATACATGTTTAAGATAAATTTAAGAAAGCAAATAGTATCCTTTTTATTTAGCTCTAATCAGTACAACGAAAAATGACTATGGTGTTGGGAAATATAGACCCAAGATTTGCTAATTTCAGCAAGATCAAAAATATGCATAATGAATGAAATAAGCTGTAATATGGCACTTTTTTAAATGAGCAAAATAGCATTAATGAGAAACAGTGTAGAAAGCCAATGAAGGTAAGTAACTTCAAGGATGTTTTACTAAATGTCCTAGCAAAATCCTTTGTAATTTTGAAAGAATAATCCATAATTGGCCATGTTTTCAATTTTTCCCCATGATGTGAGGAAAGGAAACCTCAATCAAGCTACTAGAGTTGTGCAAATCCTATAGTACTTTTGTGTCCACATGTGTAACCAACTCAACTCCCAGAGCTCCAGGGCAGGGTGGGGTTCTTGGAGTAAGGGGCAGGATAGAGTGGACCAAGGTCAACTGCATAGATTTGGTTTGGTAAAAGTGTTCCACTGCTTACATGTTCTCTAAGGCCAATACGAGGTATAAAATTATAAAAATCTTTTAAATTGCTCGTTCCCTTTCTCCTGATGTAAACACTTAACTCTCATCTTTACTCCAAGCGCAGCAACACATTATTGACCAGTTTTTTGAGCCAGTCATTTCTCCCCAGCTCAACCTTTCCTTATTCTCCCCAGCTCAACCTTTCCTTACTTCACTCTTAATCAGTTTTGCTAAGAGAACCTGTTAAGGTGTAATCCAAATGCAACGACTCTCTTCTCAATCATCGATATATTAACTGAATTTTCCCTTGCATAGTTGCTACACTACAAAGCATATTATTACTATTTTTTACAAGTTGGGCTTTGTAACAGGAGTTAAAACTATAGATTTTAGAAACAATATGGCCAGGCTTCCAGTCACAATGGTAGAGTAGGTAACCGCTGTACTTACCGCCTCCCACAACCTCATCAAAATTACAACGAACTACAGAACAACCATCACTGAGAACCGTATGAAGTCTAGCTGAACAGAAGACTTCTTTATGTAACAAAAACTTCTGTATAACTAAGGATATACAGACGCAGCCACAGAGACTGGTAGGAGGGGCGGAATGTGGCCCTGGCTGATCACACACCCATGTGTGGGGGTTAAACACCGGGGGGGTTTTGGCTGCGGAGTCCCCGGAGGGGCCAGCTCCACGCCAGCTCCCGGCCCAGGGCTCCAGGGCTGGGAAGAGAGCTCGCCATAACTCCCAGCTGTGAAAACCGGCAGCGACTGTGGCTGGTGAGACGGGGCTGCTGGAGTCGCAGGCAGATGTGGAGATTCTTCCTGGTGCTCTAGTGTCCAGGTCTGAAGAAAGCTCAGTGAAGGGAGAGGAGTAATTATGACTGACAAACGCCCCACTTCTGATTTACCAACATACTGGAATGGATGAGAGAGAGGCCACTGTCTCTGTTACTGACTGGTCATAAATACTATCATTCTTCTGAGGAACTTATTTTCAGGAAAATATTTTAATAAATTGTTCACACTAAGTATCACTAATATTTAATTCTTTATTTTTAAATTCTAATGTTTTAATTTTAGTTGTATTTATTATCTGCTAGATATGGTATGTAAAATGATTTCCCATTTACAGTAGTGGTATATAAAAAGTTTAAAGTTTATATAATAAGTTGCTTTAAAAATACCAAATTAGTACAGTTAGTACACTAAAATCTTTATAAATTAACTTTTGAAAATCACTGCAATAAAGCCAAAGCAACAGTTAATGGTTATAATTAGAAACTTGGCTTTTTAAAATAAAACAAAAGCCTCACCAGACCTACCCTTTTAATTTTTTTCTTTTCTGACTTTACAGCTAGCCCACAGCGAGACCAAGTCACACGTATGTATATGAATCTTAACTGTTTCATTAAGATCTTTGTGAATTGTGTTACTGCATTATGAGAAACAATGATTAAGAGGATACTGTGTGTTTGTTTCACAGGTTACTACTCCATTGTGTATCAAGACTGGCCAATATATTCACGTAATAGAGCCCTATCTCTCTTTTTCATTGTTAGTTCACCAATACTAATACTGAGTGCTATTACCATTTGGTTCAAGCACAAATAGCCTCATTTAGTTCTTTTGGACTAATACAACCCAGGAAAAAAAATGTTTACAAACTCATTTATAAATGACTTTTTTTTATCCTCACCCAAGAACATTTTTGCATTCATGTTCAGATAGAGCGGAAGGGAGGGAGGGAGGGAGGAAGAGAAACATCGATGTGAGAGACACACTGACTGGTTGCCACCCACACAACCCCAACCGGGGCCAGGATAAACCGAAACCCGAAATCGAGGTACGTGCCCTTAGCAGGACCAAACCAGGGTGTCTCTGGTCTGCGGGCTGACGATCTAACCACTGAGCCACACCAGCCAGGGCTATAGATGACTTTTTAAAAATAACAGCTGGGTCTGGCCAGTGTGGCTCAGTGGTTGAGCACTGACCCATGCACCAAGAGGTCGCCGGATCGATTCCTGGTCAGGGCACATGCCCAGGTTGTGGGCTCAATACCCAGCAGGGGACATGGAGAAGGCGGCCAATCGATGTTCTCTCATCGATGTTTCTATCTCTCTCTGCCTCTCCCTTCCTCTCTCTCTAAAATCAATAAAGAAAAATAAATAAAATAACAATTGGGTGTATTTCTAATTTTTAAACATTCCAGATAAAAACCAACATTGCTACAGTAAAGCCATAACCAAAAGAAGAAACTGTTCAACGTCCTCACTGTACAGAATAAACTCACCTTTATTTCCCAATTTTCTATGAATAAGCACTATTTTCAGGCTGCCACACTGTGACTTTCATAAGTAACCTAAAATGAGTAAGCTAGATTTAGATGATTCTAAACAACTCCACTGGCCTTCATGAGTAAAAACATTTCTACATAACTTTTTGCATGCTGATTCAACTCTAAATATCTGTTTTACCCACATGCACTTTGATGTCTTTCTGGTTTATCACTTCCCTGGACTCAGAACAGAATAGTAATTAAGGGATTTGATATAAGGAAGCCTTGCTTTTTTTTTTTTTTTGCTTATGGGTTAATCTTGGAACAAAACAAAATGAAATTTACAAAAAGGAATATGCCTAAATATTTGTTATCAGTAGAGCAAGTACTGAAAAACTTGCATTTATTTTCCTCAAAACCAAATGCTAGGCCATAGCTGTATTTAAAGACTAACCAATGGCATCAGGCATTCGATTTTTTGGATAATTCCAATAGCTACATTTCAAACTCTTTACATAAACCTAAAGAATTACTCCTAAAAGCACGCTAGACAAAGCCTGCCAGGATCAGACTGGGTGCAATGTATACAAACACACATATACCACTTTGTAGTACACAATTTTTCAAAAAAAAACACATGGAGAATATAATTTATATGTATAAAGAACAGCTGAATTTATAAGCACTCTTATAAAGAACAAAACAAACTCCGAAAAAAGTAATCAGAGTATCACTGCTTATACATAAGCAACTAAGGCCCTAGTATCTCAAGGTCCCTTACAAAAGGAGAGAGCTTAGTAAGTTCCAGTTCAGGGTGTGTGGGGGTGGGGTGGGGTGTGTGTGTGTGTGTGTGTGTGTGTGCTCCTCTTTTTCTTGTTTTTCTTCTTATCTGCTTCCACTTTAAGCTTAACTTCTTCAGCTGTAACAGCTCTCAGTTTCTTATTCTTTGCTTTCTTAATCTTTTCCTTGATGGCAGCCACGTCAATTTTAGTTTCAGTAGAAGCTAGACAAATTAAAAACAAAATATGTATAATTCTTTAGATTTTACCAAATAAGACATAAGGAATATGTATTTAGAAAAACAATTTCAGAATACTGTTATAATTGGAAGGTCACGATATAAAACAAAAAACCCCTGCCATTGGCCTAAAGAAAAGTTAGAAATTCTTTGAGAAAAAAAAAAAAACCAACATTGGTGAAAGTATACCTGAAAACGGCATTATAGTTTAGTTATCTGAACCAATTACTAGATTCAATTACATTTATTCCCTCTTAAATAATGCTTGAAATTACATTATTTTTACTTATAGACTTTTCCATATTTTAGTACTTTACAATACTCATTAATATACCAATTTTCCATCTTGCACATTAAAATAATTTAAAATTTCCTTAAAAAAATTTTTTATTTATTGCCCTGGCCTCTTTGGCTCAGCGGTTAGAGCGTCAGCCTGCGATCCAGAGACCCAGGTTCGGTTCCCACTAAGGGAACGTACCTCGACTGCAGTTTGTCCCCAGCCCTGGTTGGGTCATGCAGGAGGCAGCCACTCGATGTGTCCCTTTCACGTCAATGTTTTTCTCTCTCTCTTTCTTCCTCTCTCTCCTTCCCACTCTACCTGAATAAAAAATGGAAAAATGCCCTGGCCGGTTTGGCTCAGCGGTTAGAGCGTCCGCCTGTGGTCCGGAGAGACCCGGGTTCGGTTCCCGCTAAGGGCATGTACCTCGGTTGCAGTTTGTCCCCGGCCCTGGTTGGTCGTGCGGGTGGCAGCCACTCGATGTGTCCCTTTCACATCGATGTTTCCCTCTCTCTCTCTTCCTCTCTCTCCCTCCCACTCTATGTACAAAAAATGGAAAAATGTCCTCGAATGAGGATTAAAAAAAAGGAAAAATGTCCTTGGGTGAGGATTAATCCTTGGATGAGAATTAAAAAAATTTTTTTTTATTGATCTGAGAGAGAAACATCGATTTACTGTTCCACTTATTTGTGCATTTAGTGGCTAATTCTTGTATGTGCCCACACCTGGGATCAAACCTACATAGCATATCGGGTTGATGCTCTATCCAACTGAACTACCCAGCCAGGGCAAAATTACATTTCATAAAGAATATTATTACCTGTAGTCCTTCTAGCTTCATTAATTTTAATTAACTAATCATGAAAATATAGGTCAAAATCTATTTCACTTACTACCACATAAAGACTTTAAGTTCAATGAATGACCAGCAGAATTTTATTTAACAAGATTTTGGTAATAAAAATAATAATCTAATAGTATTTAGAGGTCCTTTTAACAGAACTCAACCATCTAATCAATGCCAAAAGCTTGAACAAAATAGAGAAAGGGGGAAGGGAGAGAGGAGGAGGTAGAAGAGGAGATAAATGGTGATGGAAGAGACTCGAGTGGGGTAGTAAACACACCATATACAGATGGTGTATGGTAGAACTGTACATCTGAAACCTATAATTTTATTGTCACCCCAATAAATTCAATTAAAAAATAATAAATACTTTAAAAACAGAGAAAAGCAACAAAAAAAATTGCAGCTTTTTTCTTACCTTTTAATGAATAGTATTCAGAGCATAAAAGAATCGCAAGATAAAATATCATACAAACAACCTAGCAACTTGAGAAGCAGAGATTTAAAGCCTCCACTATAGTGGAATAGCTACATTTTAAAATCCTGCACTGAGATTAAACTAACTATTGACATAACTGACATTGTACAAACTGGAAATGTAGTGCTTAGGACATTTTTAAGTTTTACTTAACCAATGATCTCCACAGGACAAAGTACAGGGTGGGGCGAAAGTAGGTTTACAGCTGTGAGTACATAAAACACAGAGTTTATTCTTGTATTATTACTTATTGTCTATTTTCCATATGAACCACTGTAAACCTTTGCCCCACCCTGTATCTTTACAGCAGTTAACACTGATGTACGTAATGTAAGATAGGAAAATAGTAATGCTATATCTGGTTTCGACCAACAGGTCGTATGCAATTCTGCTAGCGACACCCCTCCCTCCCCTCACTGTGCCACAGCCACTTTGTACAGTTACTTTAGAAATAGCACAATGTTACTAGTAGGGAAAAAAATGCAAAAGAGGAGAGGATGAATCAAAATGAGGAAGGAATGGAGAAGAAAAGGCACAAGAGTGTTTCCTCTGAGCATCTGTGTAATAGTCCCTGAATAAAGCCTTCCCATTATTTTGTTGGTGTCCTTTAGCCCAAGGTGATGAGAAATCCATGTTACCAATATGGGAATCAAACTTTAAGCCACAGATCACATTAAGAGAAGAAAAGCACAGCTTCTAATAAGCTCTTTCTGAAAGGCACAATAGAGCTCAGGGATCTCACAGCTTTACCCTTATTTTTACAGAGTAGTCACTGCTCTGGTTTATATCTTTCAAAACAAAAGGTCCTTCCCAAGCACACACCGAGGTCAGGAGAGGACTCTCAGTTTGGGTACTTACATGGGCATTAGCTGCTACTAAAGTATAAATGACCTCAGTTGTCTCCTGTCCCTAGGATTAGTGATTAATGAAATGCTAAGTAAATTAATGTTATGTCCTTACTTAACCCTCAAAGAGATTTAGATAAATTCACTAAGGGTTTGAGTTTCAAGTAACAGATTTTACATTATACCAAGAGCTGGAAAACAAGCTTTACCTTCTTTAGGTTTCACAACTGCTTTTTCAGTCTACATTATTAGCAAAACATAATTTACAGTTAAGTAAGAATTCAAGTTTCTATGAACTCTGTTATTAATGTTGTGAGCTAGACAGTTACCTTTATTGCTTTCATTTTCTGCCGCTTCTTTTGACTTGCCTTCAGAAAGTATTCACCACCAGCCAAAATTCTTCATCGATCTGTTAAAATCAGTATTTACAATTACATCAGAAATAATGTAGATGAGAGTCACTTCCTAAGAAAGCCACAATGTCTGTGAGGTAAAGACAGTGGGGTCAAAAATCTATTAGTTTAAAAAGGACACGCACTGTAGCTGAAGTGAAATACCTGAACAAAAGCGGGAGGTCGGGAAGGAGGTGATGTGTTACAACAGACTCCTTTATGTAGGATGGAAGGTCAATGATTCAGAAAAGTGTAAGAGGAAACTGGAAAGATAGTTTTGAGGAAGTTTGAAGCCACGTGAATGTCAGGTGAAGGAGGTAGGACATGATTTAGAAGTGACTGAGTTTCTGGAAGAGTGGAGACCAAAACAGCATGTTTTAAGGTAGGAGAATGGAGAAGAGACAAAAGCAAGATGTGGTGACTAATGAAACACTAATTAGAGAAAGCTACAGCTCATTCATTCACTATATAGTCGACATTGATAACTGATCTGTCTTGCACATACATAGCATCATTATACCTAAGGCCATGTTCTAAATCTTAATAGTTTTAAACTCTTTACAATTACTAATTCATTTAATCCCCATTAATAATAATTCTTTGAGACTTCCGGTCAAGATGGCCATGTAGGTAAATGCAGTATCATGTCCTCCCACAATCACATCAAAGTTACAACTATAGAACAACCATCATTCAAAACTGCCTGAAATCAAGCTGAATGGAAGCCCTACAACTACGAAAGCAGCAGCTGCAATGAGACTGGTAGGAGGAGCAGAGACACGATGGGCTTGGTCCCACACCCACATGATGTGACAGATAATAATCAGGACACCTCGGCTGGGAAGGTCCTCCCTGAGGACTGAGGGGTCCCCGTCCCACACCAGGCACCCAGCTCAGGGTTCCAGTGCCAGGAACCATAATTTCTGGCTGGAAAAACCAGCGGGAACTGAGGCTCAGGGAGGCTGAGGCAGCTGGAGCCCCAGGCAGCTACTCTTAAAGGGCCCGCGCACGGACTTATCTGACTCACTCCCTCTAAGCTTGGAGGAGAGGCAGCTCGAGGGGCACCAGAGACATACAGGGAAGAACTGATCTGTTTGGCATTGGAGAGAGGGCTGGAGAGGGGGCTTTCTCCTGGACAGAGGCCTTTGTGCCTTTGGTGAGCCCTTCCCTGGGGCTGCAGACAGCCAGCATAACTGGGACTCCAGCAACCTGGTTCACACTGTTTGCACTGCCCTGGTGATTCCCTGAGGCCACGCCCCACCCAACTTTCAGGCCCACCCATGCTGTTGCCAGTTGGTTAACTATAGGATTGGCCTATCTTGGATCCTGCTTCAGGTTTTCTAAATTTTTTCAAACAAGCAGCATCTGGTGTCAGCGAGCCCCATACCTCCCGTTAAGTAATACATAGAAACAAACACAGGGAGGCAGCCAAAATGAGGAGACAAAGAAACAGGTCCCAAATGAAAGAACAGAAAAAATTTCTAGGAAAAGAACTAAGCGAAATGGAGATAAGCAACCTAACAGATGCTGAGTTCAAAATACTGCTTATAAAGATGCTCAATGAACTTAGTGAGAACCTCAGTGAACTTAGTGAGGGCCTCAAGAGCATAATAAAGGACCAGTCAGAAATGAAGGAAGCACAGTCAGAGATGAAGGAGGCACTAACTGAAATAAAGAATAATTTACACAGATTCAATAGTAGAGTAGGTAAAGCCAAGAAGCAAACCATCGATTTGGAATATAAGGAAGCAAAAAACATCCAATCAGAACAGCAAAAAGAAAATAGAATCCAAAAAAATGAGAATAGTGTAAGGAGCCTCTGGGACAACTTCCAGTGTGCCAACATTTGCATCTTGGGGGTGCCAGAAGGAGAATAGAGAGAACAAGAAATTGAAAACCTATTTGAAACAATAATGACAGAAAACTTCCCTAACTTGGTGAAGGAAACAGATATCCAAGTCCAGGAAGCACAGAGAGTCCCAAACAAGATGAACCCCAAGAGGCCCACACCAAGACACATCATCATCAAAATGCAAAAGGTTCAAGACAAAGACAGAATCTTACAAGTAGCAAGAGAAAGGCAGTTAGTTACCTACAAGGGAGTTCCCATAAGGCTGTCAGCTGATTTCTCAAAAGAAACTTTGCAGGCCAGAAGGGAGTGGCAAGAAATATTCAGAGTGATGAAAAGCAAGAACCTACAACCAAGATTACTCTATCCTGCAAAGCTGTCATTTAGAATCGATGGCCATATAAAGAGTTTCCCAGACAAGGAAAAGCTAAAGGAGTTCATCACCACCAAGCCATTATTATATGAAATGTTGAAGGGTCTTCTTGAAGAAAAAGATAAAAAACATGAACAAACAAAATGGCAAGGAATACATAGCTATCAACAACTGAATTTACAAACAAAATGAACAAGCAGAACAGAAACATTCTCATAGATATAGAGAACATTTTGTTGGTTGCCAGATGGGAGGGGGGTTGGGGGAATGGGTGAAAAAGGTGAAGGGATTAAGAAGTACAAATTGGTTGCTAGACTGACAAATCTCAAAAGGAAGGGGGGTTGGGGAGTGGGAAGAAATAAACCAAAGAACTTATATACATAACCAATGGACACAGACAACAGTGTGGGAAAAGGCAGGAGGGGGGCAGGAGAGGGGAGGAGGGGATCAATGGGGAAAAAATGAGGAACATCTGTAATACATTCAACAATAAAGATATAATTAAAAAAATAATAATAATTCTTTGAGATAGGTGTTATCATTATCCCCATGTTATATATGGGAAAACTGAGATATGCACAAGTTAAATAAATGATCAGAAAATAAGTGGCAGAATAAATCAATACATCACTGATTCAAGAAGCTTACAGTTATAGCAGAGAAAGACAAGATAATCACTAACTAAAGGACAGGGCCAAAAGAAGTATAGCAGGTGTTATGGATATGGTAATTGGATCACTCCACTTTCCCCCAACAATTAGTTTCTTTCTGGCTTCACTCTCTTCCTTTTCCAGAGGAAACCTCAGGATACGACACTTCCATTGTTTTTTTCACCATGATGATTACCATTCCCTTTTCCCCTTTGACCTTTCATCAAACCTTCCCAAAAAAACTTCAAACACAGGGCTATGGAGAAGAAAGATAGTACCCAGAAAGGGATGGGTTTACATGCTGAGCACAAAGAACTAGTAGAAAGGGAGGAGTTTCCAAGGGAGAAAATAATGAAGCAAGAACCCTTAGGAGATAGGTGAAGATAGAATTAATAGAACAGGTAAAGGAAGAATTGATACAGATGGGGAAAATTTAGATGAGAGAAGAGGAAGTTGAGCAAGTTTTTTCCTGATTGTTTCAAATATGTTAGTAAAATAAAATGCAGTGTCATCTGGAGGGTACCTAGAAAATTAGAAGATTCGCAGAGCTGACAGACAATACAGAGAACCTGAGAAGAAAACATAAATTGATAGTGAGTCTAATCCAAAGGTATGACCTTCTCCACCTGTGTGTGGTAGCCACGGTATGGAAAAGAAGTCAGGTTTTAGGACTGACCCAAGTCGAAGAGTTTTGCTGAGCAGGTGTGATAGAAGGAAAAGGGAGCATGAAAGTGAATGATGGGCAAGACAGAAAAGTAAAGTCTGGAAAGAAACCAGAAGATAATTGACAAAATGAGGGGTATTCTAACTTAGAAAAAGGATAGTCATATAGCTCACAGTCACAGGAATGATGCTAAAGCAGAGTAGAGAGTATTTTGAGCTATATTGTTGACATTTTTTATCCATGGACATTTACAGTGGCTAAGGGACATGAGCGACACCAACCACACAGTGATAGCGATTACACTCACAACGCGAAGCCCCCACTCCTCTGCACTTGGCTCAAAATAAGCCTGTTTACACTTACCTTCAGTTTTTTGTATCTCTACATACACACACACAGAGCAATTCCATCTAATATATCCTCAGTAAAGTTTTTGACATAATTGATTTTAACAGTTTCCCCTTATGTAACAAAATTCAACATTTAATACTAACCTGACTTTCTGGCTGTGGTGGTGGGAATGATGTATACTTTTTCTTAAAAGTTTTTTTTTCGTTTGGTTCCTTGCATTTGTTCATATTTTGTGCTTGAACTGTGGCAAATATCTTTCCCAACTTTGTGATCTTGATTCAGAATCTTCTGCCAACTGTCGTTTAATCATTAGGTCTTTAGCCATGCAATATAGGAACAGTGTAAAAATCTTAATTTCAAAAATCATACATTTGTCCAACTAAGACATTTATAAATATTTTTCTTATACATAGTTCTCTGTTTCTTCAGAAGGATGGAAACAATTGCATAAAGAAAAAAAACATGTAACATCAAACATGCAAAATTAATCAAGCATCAGAAAACCATTAGAAATTTAGATGAATTCAGATTAAAATAGAGATGAAAATGAGACTAATTCAGCTTTCCAACCATTATTTCTTTAAACCTTAAAATTCAACTTAACAGCAGGGAGAGTTCTTAATAATGTTCCCTGAGAGCAGGAAGCTTTCAGTAACACCTGAAATATCACGGGGAAAAAAAGCAAGCTTTCTCATGATCAGACAAAACCAATATTCTCACATTTCCTCTACCACATTTGAATTTTACAGACATTGGAATATGAGAGGTTGTAAACCAGGCATCAGATGCATGACTAGCTTTCTTTATCCTTAATATTTCAATGTAACAAACTTGTTCTTCTGCCCCAATCTAACAGAGACTTTTTAATTTAAATTTATCAAATTTAAGTGGATTGGTCAACAAATACCGGGGTCAATAGCTCCCTATACTACATGGTTACATTTCCATGGACAGTCATGAATTTGGCACACGGGGACATAAAAGATCTCTCTCAAAAGGCTAACACTAAATAACTTGAGTATTAAATTAAAAAAGAAAAAAAAAAAGGTTTTAATGCAATCTGAAATATTCCAGGCTTTATTTATTAGAAAAAGGCAGACTTGTAAAAGATCACATCTCTAAATATAAAACATGGGCTCACAATCTAAGAAAACAGGATTGATATAATCTATGACACATTTTGTGAAGCCTTTCTTTGAATTAGAACTCTATAGTAATATATTACAGTGTCCCTGTCAATACTGGGCCCCGCAGAGATCCAAGCTTCCAAGGAAGTAACTATAGGACTGGGTAGAGTTGAATAGGCTGAACTCTACCTCTACTTTACCCAAAATAGCTCTGCTTTATCTGTTCTGTCTATTAGACTCTCATAAAAAATTTAATTTCAGGGAAGGTTTCTGTAGCTAAAAGAAGTCTGACAACCATTGTTATAGTGATATATATAATTAACGCTCACTGTAATATTATAAATTGGATAAATATTCTTCACAGTATCTAGGACTACTTTTTGAACCTGAAATTTGCAAAGAAAAATGAATTAGTCACTTATAAAGATTTTAATGAACCAGGTAGAAGGGGATTACTATATTGCAAAATAGCTTACAAACCAGGCAATAGCTGCCAAACTGAAATAATAGTTCCTTTAACTGCTCTTAGTGGCTCCTAGATCTTTCATAATAGTCAACCTCCCCTGGGTACAATGACGTTACTCAATTATACTGCTAAAATGTGACATATAGAACCAGTTCCACACTCTGGAACTGCAATTTAGGGGGAAGACAGCCAGATTTCAAGTCAGCTCCAATAATGGAACTGCCATTTTTTATGCGAAAGCCACTTAGTTTTCCTGTTAGCTTTCTCATTTGTAATGCAGAAATGAAAATACCTCAAGGATCTGTTGTAAGAACTCAACATATATTTAGACTGTATAGAACTGTAAAGTATTCGAAGTATTTAAGTTACTAGTGCCCCATGAGAAAAGAGCAGATCATTTCCAAGGATGAGGTCCAACAGACCTCTATTAAAGGCCCTGGAAAGGAAGACCTCACAGCCAGATCCAGACAACAGCATCCAAGGGAGTTCATTGAAACAGTATCTGCTAGACAGATTTCCTCATAACAAGTTTTTAAAAAATTGCATGAAAACATTAAATACAATAAATTCAAACAAAAGAAAATGTATCTTTAAAAAAAGTTTTCAGAGTTTGACCTTGACAGTCTATCTGTTCCTGCAAATAACACCTGCTCAATTCCCTAATATCTGAGCACATGCAAGCGCATCATGTTTCTCATATGTACTATAGACTAAGAGCTTAAACACCATTTAAAATTTGTAGCGAAAGGGTGTGTGCAGACTTTCTAATTGAGAAATGGATGTCTATAACTGTCAAAGGTTGACAATAATATGTGATGTCTCCCTCAAATCCCATGAAGTATGAAGTATTTACTAATGGAAAATCAAACAAGCATATTCTAAAAATAATACAATAATCATAAAACAATATTTTAGAGCCAAATTATTTAACTTGTTCTCTGCTGAAAATTAACTAAAGAGAGAAAGTAGTTCCCACCTCTTTTAAGCCACTAAAATGTCCAGTGGCTGATACCATGTTTCCCTGAACCACAATATAAGTTTGTTAAGAGTTCCAATGCCTATTAGCAAAAGAAAAATAAGTTGAAATACACGAAAAACTAATGACAAAGAAGATAAAAAGTACTTTCAATGTAGAGTCTTTCTACTGATAAAAAGTACTTTCAATGTAGAGTCTTTGGGACCAATATGCTATTGTCTTCTTTTTACAAATCTTTATTTCTTACTAAAGAACCTATATTAATGATGCAATATCATCCTGAAGAATTCGTACTGCTTTTTGAAAAAAAATATTCCACCAATGTTCTTTACAAATAAATTTCTTTCCAAAGTTCACACTGATTTCTAAGCAAAATAATGAAAACTCTACCGAGCGAGGGAGGCTGGGATAGATGGATGCAGTGTTATATGTTATCGCTAGTGGCATAAATAAAGCAAAATCTTTGTAATCGTAAATTTACCTGTTCAAATGAAACGCTCCTTGCTAGTAAGTTTTATTAGGTCTCTGGCCCTAATGATGATATACAGACCATGCTATGCAGTCATGCCGGCCTTGATCAGGTCCAGGGTTGCATAAACATGCTACAGAAAGGAAAGAACAAACAAGCAGCTGTCTAAAAGCGAATTCAATTTTAGATATTATAGAGCCTATCCTAATCTAACTATTAATTACTGTGAGTTGAGCTCTTTCTAAAATTCTGTGAACTCTCTCCTTGAAGAAGCTAGGCAGTTAATATAAAGAATGCTTGATTATTTTCATACTTCAAAGAATATAGAAAGTCAAGCAACTGAAACCATTATACTTACTTGGCTTTAGAATACTTTGTACTTACTGGAATAAAGATGATCTCTAGTTTATACATTAATCCAAATGAGGCCATACTTAATACCTAAGGTAAAATGTTAAGCTATATGGTTTCCTTACCCTGGACCTGGCTCTAATCCACCACCTTATCCTTAGTCTTCCCTTTCAAGCTTTTTTCAAGCTGGTTTGTATTAGCTAAATACAAACAACGTAGTGAAAACAAATTATCATAGGTTCAGAAAGAAGCAGTAATTGGAAAATTATGCATCAACTCTCAGTAGAAAGAACCAGATTTCAACAAAGCAAATAAAAATGCTCTTTTTTTTTTACATATGAGCATATTCTGAAGAATATTTCAATATTGTGAGTGATGAACTATTCAACATAAAGCTGAATCTCTATGAGTTACAAGAGAGAGAGAGAGAGAGAGAGAGAGACCGAGACCAATCCCAGATGCAGACAACTGTAAAACACTGCTTACAGTCTGCCTAGTCACTCTCATACCCAGTGGGCACAAACAACTCTAGAGTAGTCCCTCAGTCTGAGAAATATATTTTATGTCACAATCTAGTACACATATACATATATATATACATATAAATGAACCAAAAGCTTCATAAAACCATCCTTATATTCATATTTTAAAGACATTACATCCACTAAACTGATTTCTGGATCTACAGTTTGAAAAACGAAAACAAATATACCACTCTAGGGGCATGGGAGCAGCAACAAAGACAAGGTATCCACATCTTTCATTGAAAATGAAAATTAAGCAACTAGAAACATGCCTCGATTCAAACTGCACAGGTACGTGGCAACCACCATAGCACCGAGTAAGCATTCTGAAACTTGGAGCTCACAGACAGTCCATGAAATCCCTACAATTTTAAAGGTATATGAATTTTTCAAAGTACTCTATTTCTTACAAAATTAAAAACAAATGGAGTACAAGAACAAAGCTTATTTAGGCTTTTTAAAATACCAAAGAAACCAAATTAACCATTTATGTTGGCACCTTAAAAAACAAACACCAGCATAAACATACTTATTTAAAAGTAAAGGTATAGAAGGAGCAAAATCTCAATGAAATATATAACATATGCATACATGGTCATTCATGGCTTTCTGTACCAATGGCCAGCATTTCAAGTAAGCCTCTCTATTTTGGGAACAAAGTTGCAAAACTGCTCTCCTCCAACAGTCCTCTGGGATTGTCCTCTTTGGAAAAAGCTGGTCCCTTCCAACCATCAGGTACAGTGAGGAGTTCTGATTCATCTACAGAAAAAAAAAATTTACACATCAGATTATACCTACTTTTGGAAATTTATATGCATACATTTACTCCAATACTCTCCTTGCATTTCCTCTTCCTATGCTTTTTAGATTATTTAATCATCAAAGAACAGGGCTCTATCATTGTCAACACACTGTATTAAAATTACTTGTACAGGATTCCATCTCTTCATAAACAAAGTTTTTTAAGGGCAGGGAACCACACTAATTAACATATGCCTGACAGATAGTAGATACTGAAGTAACTTCCACTGCACTATACTGTGTTAAAGATTCAAATATTTTGTTTACAAGACTATTTTGAATATAAGTAAACTTTCAAATTTTATTGAAGTGAAGCCTGTGTATATGTGTGTATATATGTATATACTATACTTGAGTGTATGTGCATAAAACTTTTAAAAGCTGATACACTCACGTACACTTTCAGTTAATAATCACTGGTATAGTGTTTTAGGTTTTCCAAAGAATTTTCATGTGCTTATTTCTGTATACCCATCATGACAATTAGGAAGAACTAGTATTATTATTTTTCCCATTTTATAAAAGACATTCAGTCCAAAAAGATTAGTGACTTGCCTAAGGGGACATAAAGGTCTCCTTTCATTAAAACAAAATGCCTCTGAAGGGTTATCTCCCACATCATTTATTAAAACTCCTGGATTTTAGGAACCTCTTAAATCCAACAGCTATAAATTAAATCAGTACTACTCAAAGGTATGATCTATAGGTCTGCAGCATGAGCATGAACTTCAAGTGTGTTAGAAATGCAATTCTTGGCCTCTACCCCAGACCTGCTGAATCTGGATCTCTAGGATGAGGCCTCAGAATCTGTTTTAACAAGCTCATCATCAGATTATTATGCACACTAATGTCTGAGAAGCTAGTCTTTATAGTCCATATTATCCACCTCGGTCAGGTAAATATGCTTTCTGTTCCTTACACTCACATTCACTTTGCTATTTCTAGTTGAAATCACAGAGAATTAGCTAGTCTTCATATATCATTAATTCTCATTCTCAATATCCTAAAAAGTAAGCTCAAAATCTACAACTGTCATTACTTAAAATGCACATCTGACCAAGTCCTTATCCAATTTAAACGTTTCAATGGCTATGAACTTAAAAGTTGGTGAAAAAATACATAGAAGATTCACAACAGAGGAAGTACAAATAGCCCCAAAACATAAAAAAAGTTTGCAATTTCACTAGTAATAAAAAAAAAAAAATACAGCCCTGGCCAGTTTGGCTCAGCGGTTAGAGCGTCGGCCTGCGGTCCGGAGAGACCCGGGTTCGGTTCCCGCTAAGGGCACGTACTTCGGTTGCAGTTTGTCCCCGGCCCTGGTTGGTTGTGCGGGTGGCAGCCACTCGATGTGTCCCTTCACGTTGATGTTTCTCTCTCTCTCTCCCTTCCTCTCTCTCCCTCCCACTCTATCTGTACAAAAAATGGAAAAATATCCTCGGGTGAGGATTAAAAAAAAACAAAAAAAACAAATTAAAACCCCACTAGATTCCTTTTCATACTTACCAAAGTGACAGAAATTCATAATTCAGAGAATACCAAGTGTTACTGTGGAATCCTCATCCCCTGCTAGTGGGAGTATAAACTGGTACAAACCCTTTGGGAAAGATTTAGTACCATCTGCACATACCCTACCCTTCAAGGATTCCAATCTCATGAACATAACCTAGAGAAACTCTTAAACGTAAACCAATAGATATGTGCAAAGATGTTTATAACAGGAAACAATGGAAACCGTGCTCACCAATGATAGAATGGAAATATAAACAAGCATATAGTAATACAAGGGAACTGCCCCGCCGGTGTGGCTCAGTGGCTGAACATCGAACCATGCACCAAGAGGTCGCCGGTTCGATTACCAGTCAAGGCACATGCCCAGGTTGTGGGCCCGATCCCCAGTGGGGGGCAAGCAGAAGGCAGCCAACTGATGTTCTCTCTCATGGATGTTTCTCTCTCTCTCCCCCTATCCCTTCTCCTCTCTCTAAAATCAATAAAGGAAAAAAAAATTATTAAAAAAAAAAGCCCTGGCTCAGCGGTTAGAGTGTTGTTGGCTGGCAGACCAGAGTCCCGGGTTCTGTTCCCGCTAAGGCAGCAGTTCTCAACCTGTGGGTCGCGACCCCTTTGGGGGTTGAACGACCCGTTCACAGGGATCACCTAAGACATAACAGTAGCAAAATTATAGTTATGAAGTAGCAAACAAAACAATTTTATGGTTGGGAGGTCACAACATGAAGAACTGCATTAAAGGGTCATGGCATTAGGAAGGTTGAGAACCACTGCGCTAAGGGCACCTACCTCGGTTGCAGTTTGTCCCCGGCCCTGGTTGGGGTGTGCGGGTTGCAACCACTCAATGTGTGTCTGTTTCTCTCTCTCTTCCTTCCGCTCTTCCTCCCTATCTGAAGATAAATGCAAAAATGTCCTCAAGTGAGGATTTTTAAATAAATAAATAAATAAAAAATAACACAAGGGAACATTATATAGTAGTGAAAAAAATAAACTACAGCTTTAAGTATTGCCCTGATTAAGTAACAAAAACAAAGTTAAGCCGAAGAAGCAAGACACAGAACCATGCCTACAGTCCTCTCTCATTCATATAAAATTAAAGAACAGGTAAAATTAAGCCGCTTTGTGTATACGTGGTAAAGATTATGAAGAAAAAGAACAGAATAATCAACACGACTTAGAACAGTTACTTCATGTCTCAGAAAGAAAAAGAACGTGATGACCCGAGAGGTGCTTTTGGGGTCTGAGCGCTCCTTTCTCACGTGTAGGTTTCATTCTTTATGACACACATACACTGTACTCCGCTATGTGCGTTCAGAATTAACAACAACAAAACACCTTTAATAACTTTCTAATAATGCCTACAGAATGAGAGTTCAAGTCCAATAAGAATGGTTGCTGAGGCCCTCCCTGGGCTATTGCTCTGGTCTCTCTTCCTGTCCCTCATACTGAAGAAAATGGATAAAACCAGAATTAAACAAAACAAGACAGCAATTTAAAAGCAGGGCAGTCTAAAGAGTAGTAGGTGCGTCGTCTAGTATTTCAGCAATCTGACAAACAGAAATAATGAAATATGTTCCAAAACGTCTTCACGAAATGACAAACGAGCGTTCAGGACACGCCAGACATCCCCTTCTCCTTATCACTATGCCAGTCTCACTCCGTCATTATCAGCGTTCACTCAAATATACAACCACCTCCTACTCCGAGGACTTCCTTATTTTCTCAATGACTTCCAGCCGTCGCCGCAAGTCTAAGGTTCCGCAAGGCCCTCCAAAATGTCTTAATCCGCATCATTTTACAGAGGACGAATTCCGCAGCAACTACACTTTGGGGACCTTTAGCAAAAGCGGTTAATGAGAAACACGCGACTGACACATCCGCCAGACGGTTTCGCAGGCCGGGTTAATGACCCTAAAAAACAGCAATTACAGGTACTCGACTTGAGAGGACAGACGTTTGGCGGCGTTACCCATTCCCAGCAAGCGAAGAAAGCAATTGCAACTAAACCCTGAAACCCAGGCTTCGGTTCTCACACGACCTTACCTCGGTCCTCGGCTTCGACTTCTGGTTACGAAATTCATTTCTCCCAGCCCCTGAGGCTGGCCCGTCCACTTCGGAGGGCGCCATAGTCAAAGTGCTTCGTTCCGGAAGTGGAACGTCTCTTAAATTCTTTCGGGTGAAGTCCCTGTACTCACAATGAGTTCCGCAGAACTCAGACGAGGAGATCTGCGCAGTCTCCGTGCCTGCCCACGCTAGAGCCCGCGGATCTGTGCAAAGTACAGCGCTTCTCTCACGTAGCCAATGGAGAGCCAGAGACTTCTTTTCCAGGATGCACTGCAACCACGGAGTTTGACTGCATGCTGGGAATTGTAGTTTAGCATTGTGAGCGCGTCGGAGACTGGTTTTGTACGTAGTTTTCCCATGGCCTCATAGTCTAACCCAGACATCCCACTCTAGGGTTTGGCCGCATAGTGCCACCTGATTGTCACTGTCACTCGTTCGGAAAATATTTATATGATAGTCAAATATATGGTAGGTGTGGGGAGAAGGTACTAATATGTGAATATGTGCTTCTCACTGGCAGGAAGTGACAGTAATAGCTACCATTTACTCTGAGATTACTTTGTGCAAGGTACTTTATGTGCATTATATCTAATCCTTAAAACCAAAGTTATAAAGCGAGAAAATTAAAGTTAAAACAAGATTGGTACTTTTTTTGGAAGGTGAGTTTTCAAAGTCCTTGTTTCTGATAGTAATTTTCTAGGGTCTTGATATTTCTGACTCTACGGGACAGTAATGAAGCAGCACTTCTGAAGTAGTTCACCTAGTCTAAGATTTACCAAAATTACTAACTCCAGGCTACTCCAATACTGCATATTAGCTGACTTCAAGATGTGAGGTTCATCACTACTACAAATCTTTACACGTTTAGGAATCTAAAAGTTCTTTTTTTTTTTTTTAACTCATCTTTATTGTTGAATGTATTACAGATGTTCCCCCATTTTTCTCCCCATTGAGCAATCTAAAAGTTTTTAAACTCACTAAAGATAACACTTATTTTGATGATTGGTTTTATTGCTTGCTATTTAAAATTCTTTCTGCAGCACAAAAAGAAAACAATCTTTGATGGGTTGAATTCCTCACATCAGTGGAACAGGAAAAAATTATCTGAAATCCACCCTTGTGTATCTTTTATAAAAGATTCTTATGAAGTACCTGTAGAAAACAGACTGTTATTTAGGAACAGAAGATCGATCCCAAGACACATGATTATGTTAAGATTCTTATTTTTATCCTGTGTGTCTTATAGGCAATTATTTCATCCAGATATTTTTACAATTGCTAAAAAAAATTACAAATGCCTATAATAGAACAAATTACAGGTGAAAGTTATGAAGTGAGAAGCAACTCCTTCAATGTTCCCAGAAAACCTATGAAGCAGGTTTTTATTATCTTTATTTAAGGAACTCAGTCACTTCAAGTCCAGGCAGTCTGATCATTTGTAGCTCTGTTGCAAAGAGGGCTGGGTTTTCGGCCTCATAGCTGTTGGACTTGAAATGCAGCAGCGACAGTTCTCTGGGTCTCCAGCCTGCTGGCCCACCCTGAGGATTTTGGTCTTTCCAGACCTCCATAATCATGACTATACTCTTATTTATAGTTTCTCTGGAGAACCCTGACTAATACTGCAATTTACAGTAGAGCAAATCCAAATGGCTGATAAACATATTACATATTTCTGATAGTAACCTCATTACTATCAGCAAAGCATATAGATATAAGAATATCAGTTTTTACCCACCGGAGTGGAAAAAAAGAAATAATAAAAATATTTTTTATGATAATCTGCTGGAGGAAAGAGCAATGTCATACAGGCTGTTGGAAATCTATTCTGTTACTGCCTTTTGCAAAGCAATCTATCAATATAAAATACATGCATATTATTCCAAAACAATTTTGTTCCTGGAAAACTGTCAACTAGAAATAAAGCACCATGCCATTAGGATGTATGCACAATTGTGTTGATGACTGTCTTGTATAGAAGTGGTTCAGTGAAAGGTACTTTGGAGCCACACTGACTAGATTAGCATCTACTGGCTATATAGGCTTGGGCAATTATTTTTCCATCCCTGTTCACTTTCCTACAATGGACAGAATAACCTTAACTCAGTGACTTTATACATGTAAAGTACTAAAAAAGTGCCTTGCATATGGTACACATTCAATTGGTGTTAGCTATTATTTATTTATAGTGGCAAAAAAATGAAAAAAATCTTGACTATCAATTAGAGATATTTGTTAAGTAAATTGATGTAACCATCATGACTGTGAAATATAATGTAACCAGTCATGAGAATTAATTAAATATATATGGAGAGATTACCTAGAATCATTGAGTGATAAAAGCCAGGTACAAAAAGATGGGATAATTATATACATTAAAATGATTATATAGTAATTATATATACATATATAATTATCCACTTTTATAAAGAACATCAGTAATGCATTCAATAAGTATTTATTGAGCATCTGTAATGTTTCAGGCACTGTTCTAAATACTTGGTAATGTTCTATGTGCTGGACATGATAATTATATATAATTATTATTTTATTTTACACATTACTAATGTGATGTGTGTGTGTGTGTGTGTGTGTGAATATATGTGTGTGATTGTACAATGCAAAACAATTTGGAAGGGTACACATGAAATTTCAAGGCTGCTTATCTAAGGGATGAAGGCAATTAGAAAAGAAACAGGAAGTAGGGAAAAAGAATAAACGCAACAGATATTCATGATAAAACATCGAGCGTACGACTTTGTTTATGTAAAACTGTCTGTGTGGATGTACCTGCATAGGGAGATGTATGAAATGAAAATCAACAAAATGTTAACTGTAACCTCTCAGTATAGAGACAATTCAAAGAATGGTAATTTAAATAACAATACAGTCACTCAGGTCTGGAAGGTTATTCTCAGAATTTGCACAAATAACAGTAAAAGGGGAAAGAAAATTTACCATCTCTGAAGAGTTGTTTGGGCAAGAACCTGGCCTGGAAAGTCCTCTCTGGGTCACCGTATCAACAGGCAGACCCATTTCGACTGTGACTTCCCCCATCATTGGCCTCTTGAGCAACCTAGATCCACGTGCAGTCATCCTCCTACAGATGTTTCACCAGCCCTTACCCTGCTCATTCATTTTCCCATGCGAAGCAAGTGGGCCTCACAACTCTCCTTTGGACTTAGAGAACTTAATTCCCACAAAATTGACCCAGAGGGTATGGGCAGAGAAGTCAGGATGGGACTTAACAGTGTCTGTGGGGGAGGGGAGTGGGGGCATTTATCTTTTATTAAAAAGAGCAGAAACACTGGGCAAATAATCATGGTTTATATTTCATTTAATATTTCTATATTCATTTACAGGGATAAAATTATTTTTGCACAGGAATCTATTCTTTAAAAGTAAGCAATCAAGAGAAGATTTCTCAAATACATAGGGTCAAACATTTTTTATTCTCTAACATCCATAAGCTGCTTTATACTTTAGTCGACCTCACAGAAATATTTAAAATCTTAAATCAACATATATCTATGAACATCAAAAACAATAAGAATTACTATGGTTGTAAAAAGAAGGCCCCTTCTAACTCCCCAAGTGATTGCGTAATAAAATAGGAGTCTAGTGATAACAGTCAAGGAGAAACAACACAATAAAGCAGCTTCATTGTAAACTAATCATGTTACTCGTGTATATTTAGAAAAATAATGAAAGTGAAGTGCTCTGCATGAAAGCCTAGGAAACATGGGAATCTAAGAGAGCAAATCTGAGAAGTACACGGCTAGTCTTGGGCTGTCTTCTGCTGTGCAAGAGGATGTTTCATGTGTCATTACCACGGCTGGAGCTGGGATGAACTATCCCTACAGGATATACACCCATCCTTCAAGGCCACTCGTAGCAATCTCTCTGGAGGAGGAGATAAGGTGTACTGCTTTGGCTGCTAACCAGCTGTTGGATCTTGGGTAGGCACTACTTAACCTGCCTCTGTGGTCCCTGAATTGTAAAATGAGGGAGTTGAATTAGATTACTATTTCCCAACCTGACCCAACCTCAGAATAATGTGGAGGGATGGCTCCTCTCTCACTTTACAGTTCAGTAGGCATGGAGTAGGGCCTGAGAATTTGGATCCCCGACAAAAAAGAATTATCCAACTCAAAAATGTCAGTAGTGCCAAGAATGAGAATCTTGGATGTATAGCTGTTCTTAATTTCTGTGATTCTACTTCAAAGGGTCAGAAAGTGCCTTACTTCTAACCAGGCATGCCATGAAAGCAAGGTTATTTTCCACTCTTTTTACCTACTTAGGGGAGAACTTGCTTGGAATCAAAAGCCAAAGTTTCCAGATGAGGTTCATTATTGTGCTGGGCTCCTCAGTAGACAGTCTGCTCAATTCCCCTCAGCTCAGCTCTGCTCCTGTCATTCTGGAATTCGGTTGTCCCATTACTCAAACAGACAATGGAACTTTACATGCAGTGGATGCTTGGGGTCTAAAGACACTCAAGGCTGCTTAAATATTAGTCTCTCCTGGCCCCAGGCCCAGGAAACACTAAGATTTCATTGGGAATATAATCTAGCCCCTTGTGTTATTTCCAGGGCGATCTTTCCTCTTTCTCTTCCTGATTCTTATTGATAAGCAACAGCTTTGATTTAATTTTTAGTATAATGTTCTTCTGTTTAAAGAGAAACTGGAACACACTTATGGTATTAGTTCCACATAGCAACCGAAGGCACTTTAATGCATGCATGCATATTCAAGATTTAATCAGTAGCATGTGAAATGTATTGATACTGTTGAGAATTATTATTTTATGCAAATAGAACAAGCAAACTACAGTCTTTTATTTGTTTATATGACACTAGGGGAACATTTGAACTTTTCCAGAAAGCAAATTTCTAGTCATTTGTTAAATCTATATGCCTCACCCTGGCCAGTTTGGCTCAGTGGTTAGAGTGTTGGCCTGCGGTCCAGAGAGACCCGGGTTTGGTTCCCGCTAAGGGCGCGTACCTTGGTTGCAGTTTGTCCTGGCCCTGGTTGGGTTGTGCGGGTGGCAACCACTCGATGTGTCCCTTTCACGTCGATGTTTCTCTCTCTCTCTCTCTCTCTCTCTCTCTCTCTCTCTCTCTCTCTCTCTCTCGCCCTCTCCCTC